GTGGCTGGCCACAGGGGCAAGCAAACACGGAATCGAATGCCGCCAACCAAATATATATATATAAGCGCGTGAGATATTAATCATCTTGAGTGCATTTGTTACCACTGCGCCGAATTTGTGGTTGTCTGCGGTGAATTCGCCAACATCGAAAGTGATCAAATAATATCTTCGAATTGGCTGACGTCCGTGAGTATTGTGAGGTCTTCCAGAAAGGCAGGAAGCAGTGACCTTATTTGGTGGCCTGTCGTTTTTGCCATGTCAAGGTGTGGTTAAAGGGACGGTTGTGGCTTTTTATAGCAAGAGCGCCTGCCAGGCCTAACCCCACCACTTCTTGGAACACTGCCGCTTAACTATTCACAGGAAAAGCATTATATCGGTCCACGCAGCGGGCACTATGTGACCGATGTTTGGCTAGGCTAGGCATCCTACAGTTGCTTTGCTAAGTTTGCCATTAGTCGTTTGACTGAAGCACCGGGTTTCCACACCGGTAGGGAGCTCGTAGGTTATCGTGACGCACTTCTTCCGAGGAACTGGCTAATAAACTATCATCGAGCTAGGAATTAGGGAAGTCTAGACCACTAGTAACTTCGTGGATAAAGCTTTGGAAAGTGTGTGCGGCGTTGCAAATTCCGAAAGGCATTATTAATTGTTCAGACAAGCCGAAGGGGATGACGCGCGTTTTAGGTTTAGCTTTTTCCTTAACACGTATTTATGGATATGCCTAAATAAAGAAGCTTTTGTTGAAGACTGTCTTACCTGTGAGGCAATCAGTGAGGTATTGCATAATTAGGACAAGTACTTGTCGGGCACCGCAATTTTTTAGAGCCCGGTAGTCATCACAAAGGCGTCAGTCTCCAGATTTCTTTGGTACCATGGAATGGAAGAGGACGAATGGCCATCGGAAGCGCTGGCTATTCTAATTTTGAGCATGTGCTTAAACTCCTGCCTATCTATCTTAAAGTGCTTGGGTAGATAGACAGCGTGGATAGCATAAGACGTGCAAGCCATTCATCAATATGTGGCGCCTGCCTTGGAACGCCACGGGCAGGGCTGTGTTCCTTAGCAGAACGAGCTTTGGTTACTCGGAGAACAGGTTTGCGTACGCTGACGATGTGTGGGAAAAGGCGTAGACCGGGGCGCTGGATGCGATATTGGCGCCGATGCCACGTAAGCAGAGTTTAGTTGCATTGACGAATGTCCTCTGACGTTTAGCAGCAACCAGGAGGTCGAGGGGCTTAAGAAAGTACACGCCTTTGCTTACAAATAGCATTGCAGCATCAGTGAGTACCCAGCGGCACGACTTTTGTGAGTGCAGGTCCATGATAAACGACCGACGATGGTAGAGATGGTTGTTGGCGCGCAATTTGCGGTGCTTGGGCTTGTCGACAAAAAGGCAACTAGCTCACCTGAGATAGGAGATGACTTTGACTTGCACCACGGTTACAACTTCGATCTAGGGTTTGGAATCTTAATCCTTAATATGGATGCGACGACTTTGGGATTTGCCGACACCGTTAGACGCCATTATGCGTCAAACTGAAAATTTCTCTGGTTCGCGGGGAAGAAATTGCGTGGTTGCCCGCACTTAAGGGCTTCGTTACCATAATGGTAGGGCTAACCGCTAAAGCCTGTGTTCTTATGCTTCGTGCAAAGCAGTGACCAGCTAAAACGGCTGCGCTGCTTGCGGTTTATGGAGCGTTTCTCGACTTGGCCTTGTAGTGGCGCTTTCTGTATTAAAAAATAAATAGATACATATTTATTCTGGACTATGCAAGGCATGCCCACGGAGGCAGGATGAAATAAAGTATTGGCACAGATGTTCTATGGCAATAGTAAAGGGGACAATCGGAGATTGTTCACACGATTAAGGTTGATACCGTACAACTAGGACGGAAGAAAAATGAAGGTATCTCATAGTCGCGACTTCGGATAGGTATGCATGGACATAGACAGTCGGCCTTAAGTTGCATTAACACTTCAGCCACGAATAGACCAAGAACTAGATCTGATCAATTCGAACAGAAGTGGAGGAGAACCAGAGCGACCGCGATTACACGATAGGCTAGGTTCCTGCAAGTGTAACGCAACGCACAGCGGTGAAGGCACAGCAAGCGACGTGGGGTAGAAAGAGGCAGATAGGTAACTGACAGAACGTAGTAAACATAATGATATGTGGTCCTAATCAGTTTGCCACTGTGAAGTAATAGGCACTTGTTTTATTCGGTGTCAAGCCACATCCGCTAGTTCTCAGTGTTGTTAATGGACATTGGTGGATTTTATAGGGAGAACGCTTGCGAGAAGAAAGCCTACCACGTTCTGGAACACGGCCATCGATTCATACGAAGGACAAAGTTTAAAACTAGCAGTGCTTCTCATTGCGCGATTTTTGGTTCTGTTACTGGCACACTGGATACATCCATAATTTCCGATGCCTGCTGAATGATGGGCGAAGAAATGCTTCCTCTACGGGTCATGTCATGTCCAGAATGAATGGCACGGCCCGCCTGGTAGTTAAACCATGACTTGAAGAATTTTCGTATGTTACGAATTTGGCGTCTATAAAACAACTGCTGACGGCTCCAACGTGGCGGACGTCGCTGGCGCCGTGACGGTGTTCCTTCGAGAAATTGTCCTAATCTCGTGCTTTGGCAGAGACTGTTCGATGACACGGTCCGCTAGTTCAGCTACTGATACCTTGAATGCCTGAAATTGTACCTATAAGAGTGCATAAATTATGGTATATAGTTGCCAAAGCTGGACTACTTTATTGGACTCGATGTGGGTGGCGAATGGCTAAACAATCCCGGAAATGACGGCGGTAAGTAATAATTTAGGAGATAACATAGCTAGGCACGGGAGACTACCCCACGTTGGGGTATATGGCGTATCGGCTTGGTGCTGGGCCACGGCACCCTTGCTGCATTCCTGCAAGCGGCCTCTGGGATTTGCAAAATGAGTGCAGATTCCGCCGAAAGCTGAAACAACGTTGGAGGTGGCGCACGGTAGGTGGCATCCGCTGGCATCTACTTTTATCGCGGTCTGTCTGCCTCATCATACCCTCGGAAAGTAGGGTGGCCGATTTCCGTCAGCGATAGGTTGTAGGACGTTAAATAACATGCCACCTACTTATGAAGCTTCGCGTACGTCCTCATAGCAACGGTATCATCCGTATCCACTGAACCAGTCCTGTCTGCATCCGCTCACACCATTGATAGAGCGTAATCGAAATCATCTTCAAAATGCTTGTTTGGAAAAGAACTTCCCTACATGATAACCTCCACTGGTTGCAGACGGTCCACTGGGGCAGGCGACCGATGGGTTTGCACCACCACATTGTAACGCAAGCGTTCGGGGAGCAAGGCACTAATACCATCCTGTAACAGACACGTGTTGCTGATGACAATGACCTCGGAGCGTTATTCTGAATTCATGGGCAACACGTAGTAAAAGTCAGGCATACTCCTCAGCAAAGAAACAAGTCACGGTAAATATGTATTCTTACATGACGTATAAAGAGCCTAATGTTATACTTGTGCTCGCATACCCTAAATATTGACCACATCACCAATGAAGGGGTTATATAGAATGGTTATCATTGAAAGCGGAAAAGTGATTGCAGTACCCAGCTATGCATTTCCCCTAAAGTATGCAACACAGGTATCATAAGAATCCTGCCTCTCATCCTGAAACACAAACATTTGCGAACAATATGACCTGTCACATGTTTAGTCACAAGATGGCCCGCCTGAAATGCAACATATAAGGCAATTATTGATGTTAGCACTCCACGGCTATGGAGATCGTACGTCTAACCTACGGCGCAATGGCCGCTGCCAAAATCATTTACAACTTCGTTACCGGGTAAAATATACTAATAAGCTATGGATAGTGCACCTGTAATTCTACCAATGACGCACAACGAACTTACTACGAAAATGACCGGAGCGAAGTATTCTGGAAAAATGCATCTAAAAGAAGCTTGAGACAGTGCATTCAAATGTTTGCAAATTCAAAATGCGGGATACAGGTGCATTAAAACGATACAATTACACTGTAAAGATAGGAAAAGAATTAAAGAAATATACAATTATTTATAACCATATCTAACTGACCTTACAAACCATGGTCCTAATATTAACATAAGCTGGAAAATTAAGTGTAAATCCTAATTGTGAGGAGCTTACGATTTCCAAAGGATTTACCACGATTTTTCTTGGGTCTGTGCTGGGTGGGCGGCTGCCATAACAATTTGCGTAGTGAATGTTTGGAAGTGCCTGTCAGAGTTCATTGCTGATGCAACCATAGCGAATCTTTCTTACGGCTGGTTGGCTGTCATCAGACGAGTACAAAAGGTTCTGCTGCTTTTACTGCAACGGCGATAATCCCAAGATAAATGCCGCTTTGCAGCCAGTGATGTCAACCCTGCACTGAATCGGAATTGACGGAGCTGAAAAAGTCATTTTTTCTGCTCTTTACACACCAATGAAGCAACAGTAAACCAATGAACTCCATTTCTGCGGAATTGGGGAGCGTCCAGCACATGGGATGGCGAAAAATTATTTCTAGCTTGCGTTGTTTAAAACAGCACAGAAGCATAAAAGTAGCAAAAGTATTAAGCAGTTAGGCATAACTGAATAAAACTTTACTCAAAATAAGTAACTGACAATAAAGGAACAACGGTTTACTGAGGAAACAAGCTTTAGAAAAACGTAAATATAATGTAAATATAATATAAAATATATAATGAACTGAAGGTTGGAATAAGATTATAAGGAGAATCTCTTATCATAAACATGCGCAAATTTGGTAGTAAGCTTTAATCGGTTGTTAATTAATGTTCTGCACTCAATGTCTCCAAAAACTGCTGCAGTACCCGAATACACGGCACACAATTTTGACCGTTTGTGGTTCCATGCGTTGGTCACTCCGGCCGAGTTGCTCTACCGTCAACGGGTTCTCACGCATCACCGGCAGGTGGCTCGCGATAATCTAGCATTGGAATGCTTCCCCAGGCTACGTTCTACCCGTGGTCCGATAATTTCGATAATAAGTTAAGGATTTTACAACGAATGAGCATCTATCCCGATAATTTGTCGGGTTTTTTAGACGACGTATGTCTCGGGCGTTTTTATGACGTTTGCAAGAAAAAGTTACACGTCTCTGAGTGAGTCACTCTTCGGATGCATGCACCTGGTTAGGGAAATCGCCGCTCCATTTATTTTCGTACTTACCTCTGTTAACTGCTTTATTTAGCCTTTGTTGTTATCACGTTTTTGCACATTTGAATTCGGTTAAGTCGAGTACTTTTAAAGCTAAACCGCGTACTTGTATCCCCATCTGTAACTCCAGAATTGACTCTTGTTTTAAAAATCTTTGTATACTTAGGCACAATACTATGAATTTCCTTCAAACAATTTCTTGATGCTCTGGCCACCGCAGAGGATAATAAACGGTGCCCTATCTGCTGCATCGAACAGGGTGGATAGGGGTTTGGATGCTACTGCTCAAGCCTTCCCGTCTTCTTATTCCCCCTCTTACGCTTTTTCACTCTTACCGTCCCATTCCAACTTCACTTATATCCCCCCAGTTTTCAACCCCCGATTCTTGGCCCTCCCCCAACATGCTTTGCTAGGCATTTACCTTCTAATTTCAACTCACACGTGAACGCGAAGCGTCACTCCTCTCCTGTCGACAAGCCCATGTCCAACCAAGCGGTCCAATCCAGTTCATCGGCTTCCATTTGGAGCCCTCGATCCTCCTTCAGATTGTCATGCCTCAATGTACGCACACTGCTACAAATCGGTCAACAGGCAGCACTTGCCCGAACATTGGAGATCCTCTCGATCGATATCTGCTGCTTATCAGAGACCTGCCTGCAAGACTCGAGCACTGTGCTCACTCTGCGATCCACTTCAGGGGACGCAAGCAGTATTTTCTCCTTGCGCCTATCCGGTGACGATGTAGCTTCGAGCACCGGCCAAGCCGGTGTTGGTATTGCCCTGAGTCCCCGGGCTGAAGCTGCTCTGGTTGATTGGATTCCAATCAGTAGCCGGATGTGTGCGGTCCGATTGGCTGGCTCGTTTAAAGCTTCGAAGTCGCGCGGGACTAATAGATGTCTATTCATCATCGCTGCCTATGCGCCCACAAACTGTCGCGATGATTCGGTAAAGAACAACTTCTACCGCCAACTGACCCAGCTCCTTCGCCACAGAAGAAGCACGGACACTGTTGTGCTGGCGGGGGATATGAACGCACAAGTTGGAAAGTTGTCCACTGATGAACTGCATCTGGGCGGTCAACACGGTGTAGGCTCCCGTAATGATAACGGTGAGCGGTTACTTCATTTGTGTGAAGATGCTCGCTTATTTCTTGCGAGCACTAATTTCCGACACAGCACCCGCCGAAGGGTGACTTGGCGCCCACCAACCTCGAACCAGCCTTGTACGCAGATCGATCACATTGCGATAAGTTACCGCTGGAGAGGCTGCATCCAGAATTGTCGCTCGATTTGGAGCACATGTGTGGACACCGATCATGCACTTGTATGTGCTGACCTGCGGATGCGTTTTGGCGGACGCCCACGACGACGCTGTGAGCGTATTGACACCAGCCAACTGACAAAACCAGCTGTTCTGAATGCGTATCGAAGTACGCTAACATGCGAGTTGAGCAAGCGCTCACAGGAGACAATTGATGGTCACTGGTCACATGTTCGCCAGACCTTACTAGCAGCGGGCAAATCCTCATGTGGTATGTCTAATAGCCAACATGGATATTGCGTCTCTTCGCAGTCTCTGGAACTTATCGATGCTCGCCGGCAAATCCCGCCTGGAAGCGAGCACAATGAAACTCGCAAAGAGCTCTGGGCAAAACTCCGTGCTAGCCTGAAGAGAGACCGCGAATCTTGGTGGTCTCATCGTGCGTCAGAGGTGGAAGTGGCCGCTGCCCTTGGCAACCATCGTAAGTTATTCCGTCTGATACGGGAAACGGGCAGCAGGAGACCTGGTGTTAGTGAAACTATACGTGACGAGAGTGGACATCCTATCCACAATTTGTCAAAACGTCTGGAGCGTTGGGCTGAGCATTTTGAAAAGCAATTTAATCGGCAAGAATTGTTCGATTCGCCGGTCAGTGATCGCCCCGCTCCGTGGGCTCTCCCTTTGGATCCACCCTCTCGCTCAGAAGTCGAACGTGAGATCGGACTGTTGAAGTTGAACAAAGCCGCGGGACCAGATGATCTTCCTCCAGCCCTCTTCAAATTTGGAGGCTCTGCTCTTGTTGATGCTTTGCATGAATTACTAGTGAAACTGTGGGAGCAAAAAACTGTCCCAACCGACTGGAGCCGCTCCGTTATTGTTCCCATCTTCAAAGGCGGCTCGCGCTCGGAATGCGGCAACTATAGAGGAATCAGTCTGATCTCCATCGCCTCCAAATTACTCGCGTTCATAATTCTCCACAGACTGACTGGCGCTCGTGAAAGCCAGATTCGTGAGGACCAAGCCGGGTTTCGTCGGGGTCGTGGCTGCATCGACCACATATTCACCTTGCGTCAATTGTTGGAGCACCGCCACACATATTGGCGGCCCACCGTAGTCGTGTTCCTCGACATCAAAGGTGCCTTCGATTCGGTTGATCGATGTGCCCTTTGGAATTGTCTACTCAGGAAAGGTGTGCCCGAGAAATATGTAAATATTATCCAAGCATTATATGCGCGTAGCACGGGCAGAGTAAGGGCTTACAGCAGGCTGTCGCCACCCTTCAATATTTCCAGCGGTGTGAGACAAGGATGCCCGCTGTCACCTTTCCTATTCAGCTTCGCTATTGACGAAGTCATGGAGATTGCATTTACAGGACATGACTTGGAAGGTGTGGAGCTACTCCCAGGAGAACGACTTCTTGACTTGGAGTATGCAGACGACATTGCCCTCGTCTGCGACAGCTGCCAGACGTGTCAAGCCGCGCTGGACAGATTAGCACTGGCTGTCAGCCGCGTCGGGCTTTGCTTTGCACCACCGAAGTGCAAAGCGTTCCTCCAGGATTGGCAGGGTTCGCCCCCTGTGCTGACCCTTGGTGGGGATCAGCTAGAATTCGTTCAGAAATTCAATTACCTGGGAATTTGTATCAGCTCCCTTGGGATCGAAGACGAGATCACGAACCGCAAAGCGAAAGCTCGAAGTGCTTTTGCTAACCTTCGCCACCTATGGCGACGGCGCGACATTACTCTCGCCCTGAAGGGTAGTGTACAATGCAGCGGTACGTTCGACCTTACTGTACGGTTGCGAAACCTGGCCCCTAAGATCGGCGGACATGAGGAGGCTACTTACGTTCGACCATCGGTGCCTTCGCAGTTTGGCTCACATCTGGTGGGAACACCGCGTGAGTAACGAGCGTGTTCGACGCCTTGTTTACGGCCTAAGAAAAGGGAATGAACCGCTCAGCACCGTCATTTCACTCACCAGGCTCCGATGGCTGGGCCACGTGTTGCGCTTGCCAGCCCACCGACTCCCTCGACGTGCGTTGTTTGCTCACCGGGGATGTGGGTGGAAGAAGAGGAGAAGTGGCCAAGCGATGACTTGGTCCAGAGGAATGAAGGCCCTCACTTCGGAGCTGGCCTCAGTTGGAGCTTCACGGCTCCCTGGTTGGGGTCCAAAAGACGGTGAACACGTTTGGCTGGATACCCTTGCTGATATGGCAAGGAGCCGACCTCAGTGGCGTTCCTGCTGTGAGTTTCTTTGTCCCTCCCCATCCCTTTAGCCTCCCCCTCCATCTGAGATCATATTTCGTAGGGTAAAACGTAATTAAATTTTTGTTTTTGCCTAGTAGCCGGCTAGTAGTTTACCGGAACGATGCGTATCCGTTGCTGGTAGCTCAGCTGGCATTCAACTGTCGTATTTTTTTCCTTTATGTATTGTATGTATGTATGTATTTCCTTTATCTGCCCCATGCTGAGGCTGATGCATTCTTGATGCTTCTTCACCGCAGTTGGGCTAAACCAACTTACACTTAAACTAGGTCTTTTTAAGCTGGCTAAATTTCATTCCGCTTTATTTTTTTGTTCTGCCTCCCTGAATAATGTTCTATTAACTGGCCACGTTGCTTACACTAATTGCGCTTATCTTCGGTAATTTTGTTGCGTTTGTAGCATTTTAAGTAACTTGTGGACATTTCTTACTTATCACGGATTTGTTGCTGACCAACTTACTTCATATGGTAATTTAGCGAAGAGTTATGCCACCGTATCTGTATGCATTATTGGATTTATTTAATTTCAGCTTGTCGTTTAAAGTGAATGGCTGTTGTTTGCTATCCCTGGTATGGTTGCGCTTGATGTGTATGTTGACAAGGTGTCTACCTGTCTATTACCCACTACATCGTTCATACTGGCTCCAGGAGACAGTTGGTCGTTGCTGGAGGGGACGGGGTGCACGGTTCTTGTGGTCGTGCTAGGCTCAAAGAGCGGTTCCATGCACTCAGTGTGGAGCGGACTACGGTCCAGCCACCGCCTTGTGTGCGGTTGATTCCCCAAATACAGTGTGCTTGTGTTTGCCTGTGAAGGAGTGTGGGCCGGCTCCGTTGATGAAACGTGGTTCCCCTCCACATGCCTCCCGGTCTTATTCCTTCGGGTTTACACTGGATATGGGGTATGTGGTTGGAGCTGTGCGTGGTGCAGCGCAAGCCCCCCATGGTCCCTCTGTAGGCGCAGGCGTCCTGTGGCTTGCCACAGTGACAGGCAAATCCGAAACCGGATGCCGCCAACCATTTCCTTTATGTATTGCGGTACAATAGCGGAGGTGTTTTACCATCTCTAGCTGGCATGTATAATGATGATGATGATGATGATAGACACAAGGATACTTGCATCAAAGTTGAACGTAGCAATCTCGTTATAAGCCACTAAGTTTACGTGTATCGTTACCTGCTAAACGTCCCATCATATAACTAAGGACTGCTATAGCACACTAAACGAGAAGTCGCTTGTTATCATCAAAAATCATCGAATTAAATCGCATTTTGCAAGCACGATCGCAGTAAGCTAGTTTTTACTTGTGAAGGACTTTTCGACAATACTTTATTCGTCTAGTTCAAGCTCAAATGGGTCCAGATCAGCTCAGAAACCACAGGCGTCAACCGAGTGACCTATTTCCGTCTCAAAAAATTACGGCG